AACAAAGGAGGAGGCTGCAATGCTTGGTAAGAAATGTATGCATTATCCTGCCCATGTAATTGTAACCCCTCTGTACAGTATGTTCACAAATAAAATAAAAATAAAAAATAAAATAAAAATAAAAAAAAGGACATGGCTCATTGTGTTCCATTCTGGCATCAAATAGCCCCCCAAAATCACAGAAAGACAGAAAAGAAGATCTTTCCATGGGTTAGGATGTCACTATTAACCTTGGCAAGTACAATTTTGGTGGTGGGGCTGCTTCAAGGTGGCAGCCTGTTAGGCAAAAAAATAAATAAATAAAAATGAGGAATGATTTGTTTGGGGTGTGGTAGTACATGCCTGTAATCTCAGCTAGGTTGGGAGGCTGGAGCAGGAAGATCCTACTCTGAAGCTGCACCCAGAAGAAGTATGAGGCCCCATCTGTCAAAACAAAAAAAAAAAAAAACTAAACCAAGGGCTGGGAAGGTGGCTCAGTGGTAGAGCGCTTGCCTTGCACGCTTGAGGCCCTGGGTTCGATACCTCAGCACTACATAAGCAAAAATGAAAAAAGCCGGAAGTGGCGCTGTGGCTCAAGTGGTAGAGCGCTAGCCTTGAGCTGAAGCGCTGAGGGACAGCGCCCAGGCCCAGAATTCAGGCCCTACGACTGGACCCCAAAACAAAACAAAAACAACAACAACAAAACTAAACCAAGAGAAGGCTGGTGGGTGATGGCTGGGGTGACGATAGGGGTGAGGGGGATACATGGCTCCATTCCAGTGATGGGGACCAGAGTATGAGGAAGGGTCGGTGAGATAAAAGGGTTGTGGCATGGGTATTGGGGTACATGGAAGGGAGGTTCCTGTGAAACTGTAGCTCTAAGAAATGGCAGCTGAAGTCAGCTGCTGAGTCATGGCAGGAGGAGGGGAAGAGGCCAGAAAATATGCTCACTCCTGCAGGAGCCTCCTGAGGAAGTGGAGGAGAAGGCTGCCGGAGGACCGGACAGTGATCAGCAGGGCAGGGGGAGCCACAAGCTATGCCTCCTGCCACCCCACCCGCCCAGCTCTATGCGTGAGCCTAGAGAAGCTCAAGGTCAGCCCATCTCAAGGTCAGTGATGGCATATAGGAAGCCCAACAGAGGGATTGGCTAAGTGCTGGACCAGGTGGGGAGGGAGGAAGAGGTGAACAGAGATTGGAGAACTAGGGACACTGAAGAATAGGCAAGGGTGAGGGAGTGTGACCTGGCTGACATGGATATGAGATCCAATTCTGAGAAGATTCTCACTCTGAGAAGCTTTAGCAAAGGATGCTGTGTCCTGTGGTTTAAAACTGGTGACTCCTCCTGCCCCCTAAGTAAGGCAGGACCCTAAACATTATATTCAGAATGTTGGGCACCAGTGTTTATACCTGTAATTCTAGCTAATTAGGAGGCTGAGATCTGAGGAGGCTGAGATCTGAGGATCAAGGTTTGAAACCAGCTTGGGCAGGAAAGTCTGAGAGACTTCTTATCTCCAATGACCCAGCATAAAGCTGCTTCTTTGACATTTCTTTGTCCAGAGGCTCATGCAGGTGACTGAGGAACACCAGAGGTGGGGAGGGGGCAGTGGATTCTATTGGATGAGCTGAGGCTACTTTGGGGGACCAAACCTAATCAAAGAGAAGCAACAATGAGGGAGAGAGAGAAAGAGAGGGGGGAGAAGAGAAAGAGGGGAGGATGTGACAGAAGGACAGACAGGAAGACAGATTGCTTGAGAAGGAGACGGGGGAGAAGGTGCTGAGCATGCTGGCCACAAGCCAAGAGTCATTCCGGAAGCTGCTGGGCTGGCCCCAGTCATGACCAGATGAATGGCTGCTTTGGGAAGGCAGAGCCACCAGGCTTCCCTGGGCACAACCTGCCACGGAAAGCCCAACCCAGTGCATCTGTTTCCCCAAAGCTAGGCTGAAGATGCCCTCAAGGGCTCCTTCAAGGGCAATATAAAGGTGTAGCTAGGCCTGCTTTGAGGTACAGACTCCAGTTTTGTCTCACTAACTGGGTAGTTTAGCACCAACTAAACAAATTTAAAAAAAATTGGTGCTAGTACTGAGCCTTGAACTCAGGGCCTCACTATATTGCTCAGCTTTTTTGTTCAAGTCTGGTGCTCTAACACTTGGTTTATACCTCCACTTTTGGCCTTTTGTTAGTTAACTGGCAGTAAGAGTCCCTTGGATTTGTCTGCTCAGGTTAGCTTTGAATCCAATTCTCAGATCTCAGGCTCCTGAGTAGCTAGAATTATAGGCATGAGTCACCAGCATCCCACTTCTTGAAGCTTTTTTTTTTTTTTTTTTTTTGCCATTCCTGGGGTTTAAACTCTGGTCCTGAGTGCTGTTACTGAGCCCTTTTTGTTCAAAGTAGCACTCTACCACTTGAGCCACAGCTCTACTTCTGGCTTTTTCTGTGATTTATTGGAGATAAGAGTCTTACAACTTTCCTGCCTGGGCTAGCTTTAAACTGTGGTCCTCAGATCTCAGCCTCCTGAGTAGCTAGGATTACAGGCATGAGCCACTGGCACCTAACAAGATCTTGATTCTTATCTGCAAAATGGGAATGACCACCCCAATCCTCAGGAAGTCAGACCAGGGTTCATCTTTGCCATGGACCTAGGCAAGTTGAGGCTAAGGAGAACCTGGCTCAAGTGGTAGAGCAATTATCTTTCCAGTAAGAACTCTAAATTCTATCCTACTATTGTGAAAACTTGGAGGTAACAAATGACCCCTCCACCAGCCCCCTTTGGGGATACTTCAAAAATCTGGACAAGCAGTTGGGACTGAGAATGGGAGATAGTGAGAGTAGGCTGCGATTACAGCTCCCAAGGCTACCCAAGTGATAAAAGCCCTACCAATTAAAGAATTAAGGGCTGGACGCCAGGGGCTCATGCCTGTAATCCTAGCTGCTCAAGAGACTGAGATCTAAGAATTGCAGTTCAAAGCGAGTACGTGCAGGAAACTCTGTGAGACAAGTCTCCAATTAATCACCAAAAAGGTGAGAAAGGGATTGTATAGCTCAAGTGGTAGAGTGCTAGCCTTGAGCAAAAAAGTTGAAGGAAGGTGCCCAGGCCCTGGGTTCAAGCTTCAGTATTGTAGTGCATGCACGCTCATGTGCGCGCACACACACACACACACAACTTCAATTTCCTCACTTGCAAAGGAAGGACAATTTTCACTTTCCAAGGTGCCCAGATGAACCAATTTAAACCAATTTTCCAGCAAAGTCCCAGGCAAGCCCCACAGATGTATAAAGCTCAGCCACAGACGTGGGCTGTTACTAATAATACAGAGGCTGGACTCAAGCAGCTGCGGGCCCCCTTCTGCTTAGCCTGAATCAACTCCAATGTGGGCAGCAAGACTGTGGTGGGAAGGGAAACAAGTGAGGATTCAGGTCTGCTTCTAGCCCGGCACGGGAGGCTCAAGCCTGTAACCCTAGCTACTTGGGAAGCTGAGATCTGAGTATGGTGGTTCCAAGCCAGCCTAGGTAGGAAAGTCCATGAAACTCTTATGGCCAATAATCTCCCAAAGAAGTTGGAAGTGGAGCTGTGGCTCGAGTGGTACAGTGATATCCATTCTTCAGCTTTTTTTTTTTTTGCTGAAGGACAGCACCCAGGCCCAGAGTTTTAGTCTGTGAGCACACCCACAGATACACAGACACAGACACAGACACAGACACACACACACACACACACACACAGGTCTGCCTCCAGTTTAGGGTGGGTGACCTCGGCAGGTTGGTTCTTTTTCTGAGCATGAGTTTCTCCATCTGTCAGGGATAATAACCTTTGCTTGATTGACTGACAGGGTCAACTCTGAGGACCACACAGGCCCCATAATCGGCCTCTCCTGTTCCTGTTACTGAGGTGTCCATGCAGTTGGTGAAAACTCTCAGTGTAATAAGCACGTCTATGCGGGGCGGGAGTAGGAATAAGTCCGGCTTTTTTAGCGAATTAGCTTTGCAAATTTTATGAGGCCCTCTAAAAAACCAGAAGAGGTTCGGGCTCACTCCCGGGGGGAGAGGGAGTGGCTTTCACCTTTGGCCCCGCCCTACCCGCACTCTGCAGTTCTCTGTGATTGGCTTCGCTGGTTCGGAGGATGTCCTATCAGGAGGCTTCCTCGGAGATCGGGGTGTGGCTTCGATTCCCACGCGGAGGAAGCCGTACTTCCCCCATGTCCAGCCTGCGCCCAAGAGGTGACTCAGCAGGGGGGCGTGGCTCAAGTGGGCCAAAAGGACCGGCCACACCCAGGCCTGCAGGGGTCCGCTGGACCTTTGTGGTTGATGGCCCAATAGCGGGCTGAGGTGGGAGGGCCGAGGCCTGGTTATCCTTCTTTTCCTTCCTTCCTTCCTTCCTTCCTTCCTCCCTCCCTCCCTCCCCACCTCCCTTCCTCCTTTTCCTTGCTAATTTCTTCTCTTGGGGCTTGTACTCTGAGCCTGGGGACTGTCCCTGAACTTTTATGCTCAAGGTGAACACTCCCACTTGAACCACATGGCTCCACTTTCTGTTTTTTGGTGGTCAAATGGAGATGAGTCTCTTGGACTCTCCTCCCACCCATTCTGGCTTTGAATCAAGATCTTCAGATGTCAGTCTCCTGAATAGCTAGGATTACAGGCTGGGTGCTACTGGGCACTCAGCTCTTATTTTTAACTTATTCCTCTGTGTGTGTGTGTGTGTGTGTGTGTGTGTGTTGAAATTGAGCCCTCAGGCTTGAGTCTCACCCCCTAGTCCTTTTGCTTTTAGTTTTTCAGATAGGATCATGATACAAGTATGTCAGATGCCAGCCTAAGTCCTTGAACTTCCTACCTCTACTTCCTAGTAGCTGGGATTACATGTGTGTGCAACTCCACAGCACCTTTTTTTTTTTTTTGCTGGTCCTGGGGCTTGAGCCTCTTTGTGGTGAAGGCTAGCCCTCTACGAGTTGACCAGCAGCACCACTTCCAGCTTTTTTCTGAGTAGTTTATTGGAGATAAAAGAGTCTCATGAAGGGCTAGGAATGTGGCTTAGTGGTAGAGTGCTTGCCTAGCATGTATGATGCTCTGGGTTCCAGTCTTCAGTACCACACAAACAGAAGAAGTTGGAAGTAGTGCTATAGCTCAAGTGGTAGAGTACTAGCCTTGAGCAAAAGAAGCTCAGGGATAGCTCCCAGGCCCTGAGTTCAAGCCTCAGGATTGGGAAAAAAAAATAAAAATATAAATTAAAGAGTCTCATCTACTTTCCTGCCCGGGCTGGCTTTGAACTGCAATCCTCAGATCTTACCCTCCAGAGTAGCTAGCATGAGCCACCGGCCAGCCTTCGGATTTTTAAAGTAGTTGATAACACATCTTCTCTTGAAGGTCACCTCTGAACAATGCAAAGAACCTTGTATGTGAAGGCCTATTATGTGTGAGGTCCT